GCGTGCTTGTGGCGTCCAAATCATCTTGCATCTCCTTGATCTCCGCCTGCATGCGCTCGAGCTCTTTCTCAAGCTCCTTCTTCCGTTTGCTCAGGCTCTTGAGGGTGTTTGTCTCCATCGTGGTGACCCCATTCAGTCGTTCAAGACGTTCGCGGCGAGTCTCGAGATCCTCTCGCTCGAACTTGAGTTGGTGGCCCATGCGTGCAATTTGACCATCGAAGCGCAGCCGCGCCTCAGATGCCACCTCTACGGCACGCAGTTCGGCTCCTTGATACACGCGAATATCTGCGACGCCGATCTTGCGGCAGAACGACGAGTACACGCCGTCTTCCGCAGCGTTCACAATGCCAGAGAGTCTAGACATCTTAGCGCGTAGTTCCTTGAGATGTTTTGTGCGCTGGTTTACGAAGGTCGTCAGCAAGTGGCTTCAATTAGCTAGGTAAAGTAAGCACACCTGCTCAGCCTCTGGTGTGAGCTTTTTGATCTCGCTGCGAACGTGACGAAGCTCCTTCTGCTTGCCCTCTAGAGAGTGTCGACATGCGCTGAGATCGTCTGCAGCGAGCTGTAAGGCGCCTTGCAGTCGTTGGATCTCCGCGACGATGGGATCATCGGCGTTTGCACGAGGCTTCTGCTTGGCAATTTCTTGAAGTTGTTGTGCAAGGGTTTCCCGAGTTTTGCGAAGCTCTGCGGGGTTGAGGCAGTGATCAGCGTTGCAAAGCAGTAGGACGCGAAGAACAAACTCTGGACGTCAGCCTCCTCCCACTTCTTGCCACTGCCTTGAGTGCTGCGACCGCCGGTAATCAGACCGCTCTTGTGGATAACAGTTCCCTCAAGAGTAACAGCTGTAGAACAAGTATCAGCCAACGCCCGACGTCGCTCCACGGTGAGGCATACCTTTGACTTCCTGGCCCTTGTCGTAGCAGATGTACCGCGCAACTTCCATCGAGTCGCACACCAACGCATTACCGCAAGCATGATGCATAGCACGTTCAACCGTAGGGTCAAATTGAATGACATCGACCGCCAGGCGCGCCCCTTTCGCGAAGGACCGGAACTTGTCATTGATGGGTTTGACCCGGATCGTGTCCAGAGGAATGAACGTGGCTTGACCAACACGTTGATTGCGCATGTACTGTTATGGACAAAAATATTCAGTAGAATTCAAACAGAGTGGTCACAGCCAGGTTGACTGACCTCGATGCACTCAATGGCCGTCTTCTCCGTGTCGACAACGACTGCGTCTATGTTGCGACCTAGGACAACACCAACCGCTACCTCGAATTTGCGCTGGGTCGGCTTGCACAAGTCAACCACGCGGCCGCGAACGCCGCTGAAGACACGTTGAAGTGATGCGAGTGCTTCTTTAAGTCTTGCCTCGCGCTCGCTCTCTTTTTGGTCAACACCAGCTTGCATCAGCTTCTGGTGCACATCCGCAACCTTCTGCTGAGCCTCATCTTCGAGTTGCGCAAGCCGTGCACGCTCAGCTCCTAGCTTCTCGAGCTCAGACTTGGCTACCGCGAGATCGGTGCTGAGGGTTGTGTTGCGCTCCTCAAGTTCGGCCTTTCGCGCCTTTTCCTTCCCGATGTTCTCCTCAAGCGTCTCGGCCTGAAGTTGAAATTCCCCCAATTTCGATTCTGTGGTTGAGAGAGCGCGAGCTTCGGACTTCTCCTCGCGTGTTAGGGATTCGAGTTGTTGCCTTTCGGAGATTGCTTGAAGCGCGGCCTGAGCTCTGAGAGTATGATATTCCTCCATGCTCTCCTTGCTCAGCGATATATTTTGCTGAGCGGCCTTGAGATTTTCGGCTGGCGTGTGATTATCAGCTGCGTCCCAAGCGCCAACATTCAAATGTCAGACAGACCTTGTGCAGCGTCTGCTGCTTTCTTGACAGCCTCAAGCTCTTTTTCCTGGCGAGCTATCTTCAATTCCTGCGATTGAATCTCTTGCTGAACTAGCTCGATCTGCTTCTTAGCATTGCCAGTCTTGCGCTCGGCATGCGCAATTTGACCATCGATGTCGACCAGCTCAGGTTTCTAGAGTCACAGGACTCAACGACAGCATTTCGAATAAGGAAGAAATAGCCAACCTTCTTATCGAGAGACTTCTCCTGCTTCTTGATTTTCTTCTCGCGAGTGATAATGTCAGAGCGCGCTTTGGCATGCTCGGCGCGCGCTTGGTCCGCGGCCTTGTCGTGTTCCACTTGCTCCAACCGAAGCTGCGCAAGGGCTTTGGTGCCGGTTTTGATGGCGCGCGTATTGGCTTCAATGCGGCTCTCAATGTGATAGAGCTTCCACAAAAGTCGCTGCAGAACGGCCGCGTCTCGTTCGTCGACCAAGCGTTGGAACCGTTCTGCCTCCTGTTTCTGCTCCTTGAACTGGCGAATCTCTCCAACAATGCCGCGACGCTTTGTGAAGTTGAAGGTGGCGTTCTCAGTCGCGCGCTCTTGAGCAGCTTTTGCGCGTTCATAATCTTGCGCGAGTTCCAGCGAACCGGCGATCTGCTCAATGAGCCGCGTGAGGTCCTTTGGGGACTGTGATGCGATTGCCTCGACGTCGCCCTGGAAGACCAGAAAGTTTTTTGCCTTGACGAGAATGTTCTCGGTTTCAAGAGCAGCATTGTAGGCCTGATACGTGACTACGCGATCGTTCAGGCGATACTCGCTCGACCCATTCAGCGAGATCCTGCGTACCAGCACCGGCGTGAGAAGAAGCACCACTCATTGAGCCAGTCGTACTCACGTGCGCTTAAATTGGAGTTCCTTCTTGTCGCTGTCCTGGTAAATAGCTAACACCCATGCCTTTTGGGCATCACCTTCGCCCACGGACTCGTCCTGGGTTTGTGTGCCTTCAGCAAGCCGTCGGCCTCGATAGATCAGGTCTTTCAGTTGGCTCGAACGCAGCTGTAGCGATTTAACGCCAAGGACGAATGAAATCGCGTCCATGAGGTTGGACTTGCCCGCGCCATTTGGACCAATGACAGAGGTGAAGGGGCTGAAGGGTCCAATGACCTGGTGGCCGCGGTACGACTTGAAGTCGCACACTTCGATGCGCAACAACGGCATGGCGGCGACACTACGCACGAGTTACGCGAAACGGTGGCGGCGAGTAGACGAGCTTCGGAACCAAGAGTCGCGTTCCAACTCCGAAAAATACCGTAACCTCTACCCCCTACCCCAGAGGCCAGTACGACGATGCTGCACAACCTGCCTGCAGAAACGATTGATTATTTTGCCACGTTCCTACGACCTGCGGACACCTACGCACTCGCCCTCGTGCAATCACGTTACCGCACTGCAGCGCAACGCGCCCTCTTTCGCGTTGTGCGCTTTCCAGACGGCGACAGCACCATCGAACTTCTTCTCTTCTTGCGAACCATTCTCAACCGCCCCGAACTAGGCCGCTTTGTTCAAGCACTTGAGACAGGCGCTGGTTATTCAGAGCCCAATGGGCACTCAAACGGCTCGACAAACTATCACCGGATCGCGCGAGCATTGGATAGAGCTCTTCCGCATCTGATTTCGCTGCAACGCTTCTCCTTTGTATGGCCGGTGTATGATTCTGCTCTTACATTCTCTGGCGCTCCAACCACCCTCCAGTGGCTACGAATCGCAGAGCTCACGAGACCTGCCGATACCTGGCTGCAAGCCTGCACGAATCTGCGTCATTTGACCATCAATGTCCGATCAGTCCCTCTATTACTTCCTATACTCGAAAAACCAAGAGTTGTACCAACAAGCCGCCTGCCAGCGCTCACCAGCATTTGCGCAGACATCCTCACGCTTTGTGCACTTGTGCCCGGCAGACCAATCGCATCTGTAGCCATGTCAATTCCTGAACCGCTGCAGATAGCACTGGACGAGAATCTCGGCCAACACCTTGCACGCACCAGCAGAACCAGTGGCCTCAAACAACTTTGCTTCAACCTCGAGATATCCGATATGGACATGAGCTTAGCGTGGAAGCTTCTTGAGCCTTTTTCCCAGCTTCAAATGAGTGCTTTGGAAAGCCTCACCATTCAGTTCTTTGCTCCTAATAGCTATGGTGACAATGTGAGTATTGTGTGAAACCTAATTCTGCTGTACGACGACGCTGACCGTGCCTCCCGATGGCAATCAGCTGATTTCTAGCCTGGAGCAGCTTCTTGATACATTTCCCGGAGACCGCATGTCACGACTCGCTAGTCTACGCCTATGGTACATTGGGGTTCGAGGCTTTCGCGGTGGAACTACATGGATGAAAGGACGCATCGACATGTTTCTCGATTATGAGGAGACCGTACTTGTAGAAGCTGCATTCGCCAGATGCCCCAGCCTCCGTCGCATCGAAGGTTTCAGTCGTGTGCCTTGGTTTCGTCACAACTCAGGCTCAGAGCCAGCAGTCTGGCTTCCTCGCCCAGGTGCAGTTCTTGGCCAGGCAGTCAACGCGTGGCTCAAGAGCCAGAACTTCTCCGAAGCCCATATTGAGTGGGTTCAGCGACTTAGCCCTGTTGATGAAGATGGCATCATCATCAGCGAGATGGACGCGGCCATTGTCGATGGTGCAGACGACTCTGACAACTCGGAGTACTTTCCAGAAACGTCGGATGATGGTAGCGTCGACAGCGAAGACGATGACAGCGAAGCGGTTGATAGCGAAGCCGACGATGGCGAGGATGGCGCGAGCAGCGGGGGTACGGATAATCAGAGAGAAACTCGTTCCCAAGACTCCGACCAACTTAGTGAGGCCTCGGATTTGGCGGTTCCCGTCTCTACTGAGGATAAGCGAGACACCCCTGACTATGCAAACGAGCACGCCAACATTTCGCCTGTGCACCTCGGCCCCGATCACTGGAAGACGCTCATGCACAGCGAGCAAGTCAATTATGCACGGCGTCATGCGCAAGCTGTGGATGCGCTTCTTACTGAAGTCTGTGGTCTCGAGTAAAAAGCAGCCATTAAATAACCTCGTTGTGATGTGAAAGTAGTGTATCAGACGAGCAAACTTGAGCTCGGTCATGGGTAAAAATGAAGCCTACAGGGATTGAACCTGTGACCACATGGATTCCTGAGGTTTTGACACGTCACTGGAATCATGCATTCTACCACTGAACTAAGGCTTCGGCACAAGATGACTGAATTCAGCTGCATTCTAATCGTCAAGGATTGAACACACTCCATCACAACCGTCTGCTTGCGCGTGTTTGCGCGGAGTCGTTCTAGGCTTATACTTGCAGCCATAGGCACAATTGCCATCAGGTTTTGCGGAGCAGTCGCTACGTCTTTCCTGTATACGCACCTCTGTCATTTATAGGGGAAACAAAACAACTTCTCAGAGTCGACGATTGGACTTGTGAATTGCCGAAAAAAGTCTTTCTGCGGATTTTTGACAGTTAGTGTTTCAGCTCCGGGACCAATCGTGGTACTATACATTGTGACGAGCGACATTTGTGCGCTCAGGGATATCATGACATACTGCGGGATCATACATGAATAGCAAGTCCGCTTCACCACGCGTACAATGATCCGCATTCTGAGCATCTCGCGCCACACATTTATTCTGCCCTGAGGTGGCGAGATGCACCTCGCGCTTCGACACCCTTTCCCTCCTGCTGGCTTTTCCAAGGAAACCAGGTGTTTTCCTGACTTTGATCTTGAACAAAGGTCTCCTGGTGACAAGTGAGCGGAGATCTTGGAACTGTTTAAAGGACTTGCCTCGGGCTTGGTCGGCGGAGGTTGCTCGTGGTCGTCTGATTCGCTACCTACTTCCGCGTCGCCGTTGACATCAAAATAGGCGCCATTTATGTCGAGATTTCTATCAAGTGTCCGGTGCCGAGCAATATTTTGAGCCAGAGTAGCGGCAATCAGCTGTCTATAGGCTTCGTGCCGAACAAAGTCGAACTGCGGGACCTCGTCTGGCTCTTGTGCAAAACTGAGCCCGAATACGCTGCAGGGTCCAAGCCGTCGCTACTGCTGAATGACGAGCTTGAGGCAAGGCAGCGCAGGCATCTTGATGCCTTCTCGTGTTGTTGTGCTCAATTGCGTGGCGTAGGATCATGTCGTTTGGGTTGTCGCAGACCAGACAACACCATTTGTTGATGACTCGGCGCCAGACTTGACACCCAAGCTCAGCAACAGTTCAACAATAGATAAAAGAAACTCACAGCGCGAGTTTCTTAGTGGAACGTCATCCAGACGCCGACGTTTGTGCCGCTGCAACGCTTGCAGAGAGGAATTAGAACAAGAGCTGCAAGCGACTCGGAGGATATCGCTGGTAACTCATCCCGCAGTGCCCTAGCTGGCTTTGACAATAGAACATATTTTCAAAGGTCTGTGGCCACCCAATCATGTTTTATTATTTATGGAAGGACAGCGTTGGGTAATTGTGGCGAACCGAAGACCATGCGAGGTTGATCTGGTCATCGGCTGGTCGCGGGATGTTGGTCCACAGCCGCTGCCATCCGCCGAACAAACTCTCACATCCGACAGTCGCCCAAAGTAACGGCCCGGCAGTGTCTGTATTCATGATGAGGATTAGATGATAATTGTGCCAATGGTGTTGTAGTGTAAGCCGCATTCTTTAGAACAACTCGGCGCAAACACGGACAAAACACCGCTGGGTAGGAGTATGACCGAGACAATGTGCTCAATTCGTGGTACTATACATTGTGACGAGCGTCATTTGTGCGCTCAGGGGTATACAAGGACTCATACGTGAACGGCAAGTCCGCTTCACCACGTGTAAAGTAATCCGCATTCTGAGCATCGGCGCGTGCCACACATTTACTCTGCCCTGCTTGTTTGCTAATCCGCGAATCAGTTGAGGTTGAAGATGCTGTAGATTGCAAGATTAACATCCCATTCCCCATGTCGTTGGATGCAGCAGGACAAGACTTGCCTGACGCTGGACCGTGATGTTCCATCGCTTCCGACAAGCAGGTTATCGGCGCACGATGAGCCAAGGCCCGCATTACCGATCCATCCAGGCTCCCAGTACAACAGACTATTCAACAGCGATTTGCGCAATTTTTCAGTTCTCGTGTCCGAACACGTTATAGCGAGACCGCACGTACCCCTGACCAAGCCCGTTCGGGAGCGCCTTGAGCACATTGACGATTGCCTGGCTCCATGCGACCTGGCCAGCGGGAGACTTGGCATAGCTCGCGCTAAGTGTCGTGCTGCAAGCAGTAGCGGGCCAGTCGGTTTCTGCAACGATGAGCGGCTTGCCGTAGGTATTGGCCAGGTTGGTCAATGCGGTCTGGAGGTTGGACAAAGTCGCGGATGTGCCGTAGAACGGATCTACGGCAGTGCATGGTTAGGTTTTTCCATCTCTGCGCTCGTGTAAACAGACGTACAGAACGAGACGCCAATGATATCGAAATCCGCCGTGCTAACGAAAAAGTTCAGCCGGTGGGATCGACAATGATCTCCGCCACGTACGTGAAAGCACCCTGCTGCTGAATCTTCTGATACCAGCTGGTTTGCGCGCTGTTGTCCCAGCCATTCGCTCCAACAAAGGTCAATCCAAACACGTCGGTAGCCCGAGGATCATCCCAACTCACCCAAGTGTATCATGACCTGTGACTAATGAACACTACAACTCACTAACTATAATCAAAGACTCCTTACCTTGCCAGTGAACCCTCCGTCTTTTGCACCATTACGAGCGCTGTGCAGGAGCTGGGAAGTATTGTTCCAGCCGACGTTGTTCGCGATCTGTCCGACCGGCCACAAGAAACCGCTAAATGGGTTTCAGCGAGGCTGGCAGGATGCAATTCATGCCGACGAAAACGAACCCGTTGATTTCGTTACCAATCTGAAGCACGTCGATTGGCGTTCCTTGGTTGTTGAACTGCTGAACGAGATTCTATAGGTTGAGGAATCATGGCTCAGTGCGCCGAAACACCGGAAGCTTCAGATCCGAAGATGTGCTGACCAGAGTGTAATTGTAGCTAAGACCGGGAGAATTAAATCTCGGCAGCGGAAAATAGATTAAGATGCTCCTCACATAGCCGTGTTGAGCGCGGCGAGCGTGCTGCCCCACCCGCTAGGAATAGACTGGTGAGCCGGGTCGGCCCAAGCTTCGAACACATCAGAAACCCCGCCACCAAGCAATTTGCACAAACCACTAACTATCCGAGTAATGCAGGTCGACCATGAGCGTCAATCCAGCAGCTTTGATGCGCTGCAAAACATCGCAGCGAAACGCATATGAGCCCACCCGTGGACCGCGGAGTCTTCGCCACAGAACGTACCTTGGCGAGACTGAGCGCAAACGCCGTGTTGTACGTCCCGGCGGTCCAGACGCGGATACGGACGGCATTAGCGCCATGGGCCTTGATGATGTTTTCGTATTTGCCGCTCGCGCCGGTGGTCTCCTTGTACGTGATCCCGGCGGCCTCGACGACCGGCACGCTCGAGATATCGGCGCCGCGGTAAACGAGACCACGCGCGTGAGGCGCGATGGCGACGAATGCAATCAGGAGCGAGGCAATAAAGCGCATTCTTTTTCTTTTTCTCGACACTAAGAAAAAAAAAAGCAATGAAATGCGTCCAACCTCACTTGAGCCCACAGCAGAGCTTAAGTGCCATTCAGTCAGTCATTTTTGCCTGCACTGACGAGTCCTTTGGCCCTTCTGTGCCACGTCGAATATTAATCTGTGGGGGGTGACCCAGCCAGGATCTCGAGAAAGCGGCCAGAGAAGTGTTGGTGTGGACCCGTCACGTGTGAGAAATGTCGGCACACGGGACACACCTCGAGAACCCTATTGAATGCCGAGAGACAGACGCAGCAGTACGTTAACAAGCCCGTTTTGGCCTAGCCAACTGACTAGATACCAAAAAAAATACGAAAATTGAAAAATTAAGCACCAAAACCCCGCGGACATTCGAAGTGTCCGTGCTGGTCCTCTCCTCGGAGTCGCGAACGTACCGCACCAGTGCGTTGCCAGCGCCTACTAGCGGGGGGGGGGGGCTGTCAAATGCACTGACCCAAACGCGTGGGAACACCGGGGCGTGACACGTCGCTCGCAATCTGTCGTCGTCGCATGACACCTGTGAGCCTGGAGACCTGTCGGCGCAACTCCGGAAACGAGGGAGATGGAGGCTTTCGTCGGGCCGGCGCGGGCGGCGGACAAACGGGAGAACAAACTTGACAAAGGAGGGAGCGCAATTGACACGAGAATTTTAGGCCAGAGACATTTGATTTCGCGTATGGAAGGAATTAAAGTTTAGCAGCAGGGTAGGTAATAAGGGGAGGTTCGAACAACGAATACAGTTGTGGGAAATATCGGACGGAACGGTAAAACATCAGTGGTGTGTGGGCCACGGTATTAGCACGAGCGGACGGGGGGGGGCGACGAGACTCGAGAGAGAGAACCCTCGCCGAAAGGGGGATTACGCACGCGGTCGCGCGCGCGAAAAAGGTTTCGATCGAACAAGGGCAGGCTAAAGGGCCTGAGCTGTCATGACGCGCCGCGTCTTGAACATGGCAACAGGCACGAGTTGCAACAGTTGCTTGGCACTGGGCGATCGACGCATGTATGAGGAGGAAATTCGAAATGTGACGGCACGAGGTGCACGGGGGAGCGGTACAACTGGTAGTAATGTATGATTGTTGCGTTTGCTAGAAGAGAGGGGGGCTACTGTTGGCATCGGGGGGGGGGAGGAGAAGTGCAATCGATTGTAGGGACGAGAAACAGGACGGTAATGTGATTGTTGTAGGGTCCCAGCCAGAGTCGGGCGAGCGAGCGGTAGTCTGCACAAATAATGGTATGATGACAAGCGTTGCATTGGGAGCGTGAAACAATGATGGGAGATGAGACGGGTGATGGAGCCGAAGAATCGACGACTGACGACAGGCTTGTCGGGAGAGCGATGGTGCGAGCCGCGGAGGAGGCGTGAACCGGAAAGAGCGTATCGCGTGGGCCAAGACAGGACTAAAATCGGTCCGGCGAGACCGCGGCCGCCTCACAGCGCGCTGCCGTGGACGGTGCGGACGTGACGGTTGATGTTGCCGACGCTAGTGTAAGTTTTTGTACAACCCGGCCATGGACATGGGAGGATCTCTGTGATGGGCAGACGAGACGGGACGGCACGAGGAACGCCAAAAAAAAAACAAGAG